TGTGTGGAGCCAGGACCACAGCTGGCCATCAAGGGAGGTAGGGAGGTCCATTCTCGAGAATCAGTCCTCCCATGACTAGAATCCGCAGATGACAGAAACCTCCCCTGTCCCCAGGATAAGCCCAATACAGAGGCAAAGCCACTGCCATGTACAATCTGGGGCCACAGGAGAGAGGGCTGTGGGGAATGCAGCCTCTTAGAGAAGGCCAAAACTGCTCTCCAACATCAGGAAGTCCCCCATCCTCAAATCTGCTTCAGAGGAATGTGGATCAGTGGCTCTCAGGAGGGGACTATAGCGCCAGTAAAATAAATCTACTGTTTAGAAATGGAGTCATAGTCATCTTTTAAAAAAGCTTTTTAGGGTCTGGAGAGATGCAAAGCGGTTAAGAGCACTGGCTTGCTCTTGCAGAGGACCTGGGTTCTAATTGAAGCACCCACATAGCAGTCTAACCTTGGGCATTGTATGTTATACTAACATGCAGGCAATACACTCATAGACATAAAATAAAAATAATAAAACAATTTTAAAAAGCTTTTTAGGGGGCTGGAGAGATGGCTTAGCAATTAAGAGCACTGACTGCTCTCACAGAGGACCCTGGTTCTGTTCCCAGCACCCACATGGCAGCTAACAACTCTGTAATGCTAGTTCCAGGGGGATCTGATGTCCTCTTCTGAACTTCTCAGTCATTGCATGACATTGGTACACTAATATACATGTAGACAATATACTCATACACATAAAATAATAATAAAATTTTTTTTTTAAAAAAAGGAAGAAAAAAAAAACTGAAAAAATCCACAGGTGGACATGGTGGCATGCTTATGATTTCAGTTTTGGGAAACAAAGACAGGTGACTTCCTGGGGCTCCCTTTCTAGCTAGCCTTGTCCTCTAGGCCACTGAGAGACTGTCTCAAAACAACAAAAACCTAACAAGATAGAAAACTCCTCTGGCCTTCATACACCATGGTCTTTTTTTTTTGAGACAGGGTCTTCCTGTGGCCCCAGCTGGCCTGGAGCTTACTATGTAGATCAGGCTGGCCTTGCACTCACAGAGATCTGCTGGCCTTGCACTCACAGAGATCTGCCTGCCTCTGCCTCCCAAGTGCTGGGATTAAAGATGTGTACCACCACTTTTGTTTACAAACAAAATGTGTAAAGTAGAATTTCAGGTGACATAGAGGCTTTTGATAAAACTCAAATTATGGAGTTCTTAATGTTATATCTGTTGATTTAAACTTTACTCTGCAAACATTAAGATGTTGAGTTAAACCAGGTATGGTAGCACTTAACCCCAGCACTTAGGAGCCAAAGACAGATGGAGCTCTGTGAGATAGAGGCCAATCTGGTCTACATAGCAAGTTCTAGGCCAGCTGGGGCTACAGGGAGACCCTATCTCAAAAAAATGGTGTTGAGTTAAAACAACAAAAAGCACAATAATTATGTGGTTCCTATTAAGAATTTACTTGCCCTAGCCAGGTGTGTTGGCTCACACCTTTAATCCCAGCACTCTGGAGGCAAAGGCAGGTGGATCTCTGAGTTCCAGGCCAACCTGGTCTAGTAGTTCCAGGTCAGCTGGGGCTACAGGAAGACCCTGTCTCAAAAAAAAAAAACTTGCCCTTAATTTTCACATCAGAAATATTAATTGTAGCAAAGAAGAACAGAAGGCAGAAAGATTGGGGAGAATAAGACTATTCTGTGAGGTGGCGGACAAAAACAGCCCAGATAGTTGTTACTTGTTTATGTCGCATTCATTTATTTATCCTAATAGTTTTGTTGATTGTTAAGGGTTTACCTCCTTACATAATACCAGTACTTGGGAAGCGGGGCAGGTGGATCTGTGTGATCTAGGCCAACCTGGTTTACTTAGGGAGTTGCAGGTTAGCTGGGACTGTAGGAAGGCCCTGTCTTTAAAAAATTTTTTTCCTTTAAATTTTTTTGATTTATTTTTATTTTATGTGTATGAGTGTTTTTCTCTCTGTACATGTGAGTATACCACATGTGTGCAATCCTGAGGATGCCAGAAGAAGGTGTCAGGTCTCCTTGAATTGGAGTTAGGGACAGTTGTTAGCTGGGAACTGAACCCTGGTCCTCTGTAAGAGTAGCCAGTACTCCTAACTGTGGAGTCATCTCTTCAGTTTCCTTATTTATTTTTCATGCCTTAACAGCCCTGGCTAGAACTTCCTGTACAATGTTTAGGAATGTTGAGACCAAGTCAGGAGTGGAGGTGTTGTGATGGTGTACTCATATAAGTGAGTACATCTGTGTGTGTGTGTGTGTGTGTGTGTGTGTGTGTGTGTGTGTGTACCTCATTGTGTGTTTGGAGGTCCAGGGACAACTTTCTGGAACCCATTCTCACCTTTTACCTTGTTGAAGCATAATTGCTTCTGTTGTTTCTGCTGGTGTACTGTGTACTCCCAGCTAGCTGGCCTGTCTCCACCTCCCCTTACCTATCACAGTAGGAGTGTTGGGATTACAGGTATGCCATGGCACATCCACTTTTTCCTTTGAACTCGGATTGAACTCAGGTTGTCAGGTTTGTTTGGCAAGCGCTTTTACTCATTGAGCCATCTCTTGGCCTTAACTGTAGGTGTGCATAGGTTGAGAAAATCAGATTAAGGAGATTACATTCTGCTTCTATTTTGTTGGGTTTTTCTTTAAATCATGAGAGTTTTAGAGTTTCTAAATACATTTTCTGCATCTATGGAAATGACTTTATGCTTTTCCTTAATTTTATTAGTTATATACCACATTGATTTTTGTGTTTAAATCACCCTTGCATTCCTAGAGTAAGTCCTACTTATCTGTAAATCAGTATGCTGCTGGGTTTATTTTTTCAAGATTCTGTTTCATTTGTATCTGTATTCTATAATTTTCTTTTGTTGTGATGCATTTGTGGCTTTGGTATCAGGGCTTTTGTTACAAGCTTCATTAAATTATTTGGTGTTTATTCTTTAGATATTTTGTAGAGCTGGGCGTGGTGGCAAATGCCTTTAATCTCCTTTAATCCCAGCATTCCAGAGGCACTCTCTTGTGAGTCCAGGGCCAGCCTGGTCTACAGAGGGAGTTCCAGGACAGTTGGGGCTACAGTGAGACCCTGTCTCAAAAAGACCCCCCCAAAAAAATTTTGTAGAACTCAAAAGTAGCCATCTATCTAGTCTTGGAGTTCTCCCCTCCCCTACTCATCCCCGAAAGTTCTTGATTACTGATTATGCAATCTTTCATTATACCTTTGTTGGACTGTTCTGTTTTCTTGAGTCAGTTTTGGTAGTTTGTGTCATTTTAGAATTTGATCATGTTCTAGATTTTCTAATTTATTGGTTGCTAATACTATTCTTATCCATAATGCTTTTTATTTCTGTAAGTTTGGTAGTAATGTTCCTGCCTTTATACCTGATTTGAATAATTTGAGTCTGCTCTTATTCTCTTGTGCTAAAAATTTTGTTGACCTTTTCAAGAATCAGCTTTTGTTTTTGAGCGCCCCCCTCCCCCTTTTAAAGCTTGACTTTCTCCTTTTTAAATATCCTTTATTTGCTCAACTAACTTTTTTTTGTTGTTGTTTGCTGTTTGTTTTTTCACTTTTGAAGCAAGATCTCACTATGTAGCCCAGGTTCAGCTAGAAAATTTTTGTAATGTTATTAGCTAATTATGGTTCTTTTATGAAATGCCTATTCATGGAACCTATTTTTTTTTGGTTCTTGGCTTGTAGGAATGCTTCACACATTATGATACATGTCTAGTACCTCTAGACAGTGTTGAATAATAGAGAATGGGAGGCTTTTGTCTTCATTGTGTTAGAAATATATTTAACCATTGTATTATTTACTTCTCGTTACTGTGATAAACACCATGACCAAAAGCAACTTAGGGAAGAAAACTTATTTCGACTTGTGGTTGCAGAGGGATAAGAGTCCATCATGACAGGGACCCTTTCTCAAAAAAACAAACAAAATTTGAAAGTTAGAAAAGAATAGATTCCTGGAAACTGGGCATGATGCCGCATGCCTTTAATCCCAGCACTCAGGAGGCAGATCTCTGTGCAAGAACAATTAGGGCTGGAGAGATGGCTCAGCAGTTAAGAACACTGGTTGTTCTTGCAGAAGACCCAGGTTCCAATCCCAGCACCGACATGGCAGCTAACAGCTGTCTGTAACTCTAGTCCCAGGGGATCCAACAGCCTCTTCTGACCTCTGCAGGCATTGCAGGACACAGGTGCACTTACCTACTTGCAGGCAATACCTGCATACACATTAAAAAAATTTTTTTTTAATGTTTTATTCATTATTTGTATTTTATGTGTTTGAGTCTATTGCCTGCATGTAAGTGCACCCGTGTCCTGCTGGGTGGGTGCTGGGAATCAAACCTGGGTCGTCTGTACCTTATGTGTGCCTACATCTAGCCTTTTCTATATTCTGGAGATTGACACCTGGTCATCAGGCTGGAGGGAAAAGTGTATTTACCCACTGAGCCATCTCACTGGCTCTCATGCTGCATTTTTCTTTGGGATATATCAGATTTGATTAACACACTGTGATAGAGTGTCTGGAAAGAAACAAAGTTTGCTAAATTACATTTTTTGTCAATTTTCTTATATATGAAGATCTTTTATGACTTCCTGTTGTAAAAACAATTCCCTCTTAAGTCCATGTGGGAGCTTGCTCTGCTTACTGGAGCATTGAGTCCATTTGGGTTATTATATGTGTTTTTAATAGTCTATATTTTCTCTTCTGCCACTTGTGTCAAATTTGGGTAAATCTTTTAAGTACTGATATAAAAAAACCCCTAAGAGTTAGAGATATATATTCAATTTAAATCTACATTATAGAATGCAAAGTGGCACAAGTGATTATGGTGAATCAGGCTTGGGAACTAATGTGATAGTAGACCATACAGCTCTTTCAGCAAAATTCTAGACCTGATAGAATTTTGTAGGTCATTTTTGCAAATGATCTTTTAATTTTTCTCGACTTTTAACTTTCCTTACTTTTTTCTTTCTTTTCTAGTTTATGCCAGCGTGGCTTCATTCATACAGATGAACCAAGCATTGGGATAGCAGTATAAAATTAGAATCAGACAGCTGACTGCTCAGCAGGATGCCATCAACTAACAGAGCGGGCAGTCTAAAGGACCCTGAAATTGCAGAGCTCTTCTTCAAAGAAGATCCAGAAAAGCTTTTCACAGATCTCAGAGAAATTGGCCATGGAAGCTTTGGAGCAGTATATTTTGTGAGTGTTAAAGGCTTAATGTCACTGTAGTCAGAATGAAAAATGATGGAATTTGCTGATTACAAAGGCAAACTCAGCTGTATTCTCTCACACCATGCTTCTTAAACTAGATGTGTCCCCACACGTCATGCCAGCAATCACTTCTGCAACAGACACACTGGATGTCCTCTAATTCAATTCCATTTCAATACTCCCTGGAGATGCTATCATAAAGGCCCAGTCCTGCAAGAGTACCTTCCACTTTGAGATGTCAGTTGAAAGCTCCAGATTGTATTACTGACACACTAACCATGGAATTGGGATTCTGCAACCCCTTCCTTAGGTTTCATTAATTTTTTTGCAGCATTAAGGGAAACACATTTGCTAGTTGATTATAAAGAATATTTTAAAGGATACAAATATATATCTTTTCACATAGTTAGATCCAGAGATACATATGCTAAGGTCTGGAACTTTAACCTAGTACAGGAGCTTCTGTCCACATGGAGCTAGGGTATGTCACTCTCTTGGTCTATGGATGTGTTCTTATCTTCCTCACAGTTCTAAGTCCTTTTTAGTTTTTCTTCATTACTTTACAATGATAGTTAACTCCCTTCTGCTTCTTTCCCTTCTCCCAAGGTGGGATTTGGGGCTGAGATATGAGTTCCAACCCTCTGGCACAGGATTGTTTTCTCTGAGAGCCATCTGTCCTCTACCCCTTCCCCTCCCTACCCTATAATTATCCAGATACTTTCCAAAAAGCACCCCAGATGTGGGTAAAACAGGCTTGCCATAAATACAAGACTTACCTTTATGTCAGTTTAGCTTTTCTGGAGGTATTCTGACAACCAAGGACAAAATGCCCACCTCCTCCTTTTTTCAAAATATATTTTTGGACTTGTTTTTATTAATATGTTTGAGTGGTTTTTAAAAATACTTTAAAAATATTATTTTATTATGTGTATGAGTGTATTGCCTGCATATATGTGCACCTGTGTTGTTCAGTGCCCATGGAGGTCAGAAGAGAGCAGCAGATCCCTGGAACTGGAGTTATAGAACAGCTAGTGCTTTTAACTGCTGAGCCATCTCACCAGCCCCTACAGAAGACATTTTCTATCTGCTACCTCTCTCTAGACCTAGATAGGAAAGATCTTTTCATAGGAATAAAAGATTGGAGTTCTGATATCTGACCCAGATAGATTACAGGTGATTTCATACTTGGAAGACTACCTGTTTAATAGGACAGTCTTTGCTCACCTTACTCTTGTCCTCTCCTTACTCTCCTGTGTAGCTTCCTGTTACCATCCCTGGGGGCTTCAAGACCCTGTTTCTGTAGTTCAGTATGCTATTTTAAGGTCAGCCATCTGGCCTTTCCTTTTTTTCCTGCTTTGTGTATGGCTCATGTTTGTTCACATTAATAATTTATATACTCCCCTCCCCATTTTCTCTATTACGAGTTCATTTTATAAACTAAAATTATTGAACCTCCTGAGGGAAATTTAAAATTTCCCTATACAGCCTCTATCCCTCCTCAGAACATGCATACCCCCATGACTGAAACTTAAAGATAATACTGAACCTTAAAATGTTATTCTATCTTAACTAAACACTTATATACTGTGACCATAACTTTTGCAGTTTGTTATGTGACAAGAAAACTAGCATAAATTTCACTTTCTTTTATAATTTTATATATATGTAATTTTTTTTTTTTTTT